GGGGGAGAAAGGGAGAAGGAGGAGGAAAGAAGGAAGGGGGAATTTCTATGACAAAGTCACTCACTCTTTGCTGGGATGTTTGCAGCAGTATTTCCTGATGCCAGCATCCCAGTTTACTTCCTGATTCCCAGGAAACCTAAGCCATCAGCTTCTTAACCAGCTGCTTACTGGTGTGAACACGCGGTTCCTACGAGATATGAAAGGCTGCTGAGAAAGTGACATTTAATGCTCTATGACAAGCCCCGCTGCCACGTGCTGCCTCGCAGATGAGGGGAAGAAGCGGAGAAACTGCCTTCCCGTCACCATGAGAAAGTGCAGGGTGCCTCTTGGAGTGTCTTCACCTGAACTGCAGGGTCTGAGGCAGCCCCGTTGGTCGGGGGTGCAGCTGGGACAAGTGCAGGTCCCCCCTGTGGTTTGCTGCTGTACCTGCCCAGTGTCCTCCAAGCTGGAAAACAGTGGCTGTGTTTGTATTCCCAGGGTCCCCGTGAGTGTCAGGAGCATGTACATTTTAAGCACCTAGTAGTATAAGCCCAGCATTCCTTAAAACAGTAGCCCTTGGGCCGGGGATTTAGCTCAGTGGTTCCGCTGCCTGCCTCACAAGCACAAGGACCCGAGTTCGATCCCCAGTACGAAAAAAAAAACCAGTGCCCCTTCCCTGTACCCCCGTGTGGACTTCACCTTCACCACTCCTTGAAGATTCTATGTTAGAGAAGGAAAACGGAGGGCTTAAATACCCAGCCCCCAACAACGGCATGATGGTTACTGTGTGCCACTTGGCCAGGTCATCCATGCAAACAGCTGTTTGGTGACACAATAGTCCAGATGTTACCTCAAAGAAATTTTGTAAGTGCAATTAACAGTTACAATCAGTTGGTTGTAAGTAAAGCAGATAACTCACCACAACGTAGGTGGGGCTTGTCCAATCGGGTGAAGACATTAAGAGCAAAGCTGAGCCAGGCATGGTAGCACATGCCTGGAGGCTAAGGCAGGAGCATCACTGAGAGTTTAAGGTTCCAATAGAAGGGGTTCTGACATAAGAGCGTGGCCTTCACATCCTGCCTGAGTCTCCGGCCTGTCCGGCCTGCCCTATGGATTTTGGATATCTGACGTGCCTATCTGAAGTGCCAGATTTCAGAGTTGCCAATCCCCCACCATCGAGGAGCCAAGTCCCTGAGGTAAATAAGTTTCTGTAGATAAGTAGCTAGAGATGGAAAAGACTGGCTTTGATGGATGAGAAAGAGATCCTGCTGGATCTGTTTCCACTGACACGTGTAGCTACTAAGTGGCACTGCCAAGACTCGGGCCCAGGTCTTTGTGAACCCAAAGCCTTTGCTCTTTCTTAACTCTGCGCTCCGCTGCCCAGGAGGCCGGAAGTCAAGAGCTGCCAGGACCAGGCTGCGTCCTGAAGTGGAACTACATGGCCAGGCGGGGTGCGCTGCTTGGGCCTGCGGGAGGAAAGGGCTGTCTTAGGCTCTGAGCAGGGGCCGGATGTGTCCATGTCTCGGTGGGAGAAAGAGGACTGTGGCAGAGAACGGGTAAGAAGAGGGAGGGGACCGTGGAGTTGCAGACGCTGGAGAGCCAGCAGGGACGCGGTGAGGAGAGCCACACAGGAGGGTCCCGAAGACTTCAGAGTGGGGACGCAAGGTGGGGTCCGAGGAAGCCAAAAGGCCCAGCCGGGAGGGGACAGTGGGCCACAGGGACAAGCTGGGCCAGGCAGGTCAGTGTAAGTGGGAAGAGATGAGCCCAGGAAGTGCAGCCCGACTGCAGGGAAGGCCCAGCGTCGGCAGGTGGGCAGGGGAGGAGAGGCAGCGGGCTGGGGCCCTCACTGTGAGCCAGGCCACAGGAGAGGAAAGCTCAAGCAGCAGCTGGAGCTGGGAAATGGGTCGGGCAGCGCGATGGATGGGAAAGCTGAATCTGGGGCGGAAGAAGCCAGGGAGTGAGGACCGGAAACCCCGCCTCCAGGAAGACAGGGGGGCAGGTAGCTGAAGACCCCAGATGGGGACTAAATGGGAGGCTTTCCCGTGGACAAAGCTCCCAAGGGAAGCAAGCTGGGTAATGAGAGGCTCTGGGTGCTTTTCTTATGTTAATTTCTTTAGCATTATGAACTATTTATTTATTTATTTAACACGGGAGAAATCAGGGCCAGGCTCACACTGCTGCAGATGCCACTCAGGAAAGGGGCAGAGTCCGCAGGAGCGCCACTTCCTCTGGGGATACAAGGGAGGTGGAGTGGGCTAAAGTCCTTCCAGAAGCCCAGCACCATGGCTGGGCCAGGGCCCGTGGGGAGCCGAACATGGTCCCAAATGAATGCGCACTCTGGCCTCCGCCGTCAGGAGAAACTCATCCAAGCCATGCTTCCCAGCTCCATCTGCCACCTCCCCTGTCCTGGCGTCCTGGAGAAACATTCCCAGCACTGAGGCCTTCTGGGAAACAGGAGCAGCTGTCTTGCTGGAAGCTTCTCTTCTCGGCCTGTTGACACAGCTTGTCCCAAGGTCTGGCAGCTCCTTTGTGCATATGCTGGTTGGGGAACCAGGGGCAAGGAAAAGATTCACACAGTGATCAGCTGGGCGTGGGAACACACACCTGTCATCCCAGCACACTAGGAGGCTGAGGCAGGAGAACCACAAGTTCAAGCCCAGCCTGGGCAACTTAGCGACTTAGTGAGACTCTCTCTCAAGATAAAAATAAAAAAGGGCTCAGGAATGTAGCTCAGTGTGTGAAGGCCAGGAGTTCAATCTCCAGCACTAAAAACAACAAAACACCTCCTCCACACACACAATCCAAATAACCACTGTAGGGAAAGAACAGTGCAGTGAACACAAGAGGAGCTCCGGCCTGTCAGGCCCCAGGGCCTAAATGTTTCCATGGGTAAAATTGAAGGCACACTGCAGGGAGCGAGCCAGGGCCACTGGTTTTTTGAGCTAGGCAGAGAGGCTCCACAAACCCCAGTGATCCCCCTTGGGCCCGGCCCACCTGGACAGGGGCAATCGGTGTGGCCAGAGGCTTGGTGGGGAAAGGTGGCCTCGTCCGGTCCCTGCTCCCTGAGCAGCCGGAGAGCAGGGCCAGGCTCTGTGCAGGGCCATTTCCATAGCTAGACCGGGGCTCCTAGCTACAGTCCCTGAATCGCCGAACCCAGATCTGTGACCGAGACTGGGGAAGATCCCGACTTCACTTCCTCAGTTACCAGTAAAAGCAGCCAACTGCTAGCCTCTCAGTGCCTTCCTCCCCTCTCTGGTTTGCTGCAGACACCTGGAAACAGTTCACATTCACCTCTACTTCAGATTCACGGGGTCAACAGGCCCAGCCCAGCCGCAGGTCTTGTTACTTACATGTTAGTAAGGATACTGAGGTTGGGGTGCGGCTCAGTGCTGACACATGTGAGGCCCTGGGTTCCACCTGGCACCACGCACAGACGCACAGACGCACAGACACACAGACACACACACACCCATCCCTGGGTTACCACATCACATTTTAAAATAAACTGACAACTCCATAGAGATATGACTAACTTCCCCTACAACCCTGTATTATTTTATTTTTGTGGTACTGGGCATTGAACCCAGGACCTTTGCATTGAACTACATCCCCAGCCCTTTTTTTATGTTTTATTTTGAGACACAGCCTCACTAAGTTGCCCAGGCTGGGTATCCTCCTGCCTGTGATCCTCCTGCCTCAGCCTCCCAGAGTGCTGGGGTTATAGGTTCATGCCCCTCAGCTTTATTTTGAGAAGGGATTCATGGTGCAGAGAAAGGTCAGGAGCCCCCCGATGAGCCGGGTCCTGTGGACACTCAGTGTGCTTTGGCCCAGAGGGAGGGAGCCACTCACCTGGAACTACCCTGCTCCAGGACCACCTCCTGGGGGCGGGCAGTGACCATAACCATGACAACTTACTGGGCCAGAGCTCCAGTGAATGGTGTCGGGCCTCTGTTTCCCTCGGTGAGGAGTCAGAATCCAGCATGTGGCACATGACAGTAATCCCAGTACTCTGGGAGGCTGAGGCAGAAAGATTTCAAGTTTGAGCCTAGCCTGGGTAGCTTAGTGACACCCTGTCTCAGATAAAAGTAAGTTGAAAAAAAAAAGGAGTTAGAGAGCTGGGGATGTAGCTCAGTGTGAAGGCCTTGTGTTCAGCCCTCAGTACTGCAGATAGATGGATGGATAGATAGATACAGATAGATAGATGGATGGAGTGAGTCAAAACCCTCAGCTTCCAGTGCTTCCGCTACCTGCCTTGCAAGAGCAAGGTCCTGAGTTCAATTCCCCGTACCAAAAAAAAAAAACAAAAAACCACCCTCAGCTTCTTCCCTCAGTACAGTGGGACTCAGAGAAGAGGCCAACAGCACCGAGCTCACTCCAGGACAGGAGAGGGCACGACCCTCGGAATTGCTTACCCAGGGTCAGGACAGAGGCCCAGAGTGGGAGAGGGGCTGCAGCGGCCAAAGTGCTGCTCGGGTCCTGGGAGGATTCCTTCCCCTCCCTGGAGGACGCGCCCAAGCGACGCTGGGCCCCTCCAGAGCTGGCTTCTGGCCTGTGGGCAGCTGGCACCTGTGCACATGGGCTGGGGCTGTGCCTGGCAGGGACAATTCCCCATCGCCTCCCTGTGTGCATGCTCCACCCTGGGACAACTGGCTGTCACTGTTTGCTCCAGGACCCAGGCTTGGTGGCCCTGAGGCAGGAGCTGGGATACTGTGCTAGGGACAACCCTCAGGGCACAAAGGAGGGAAGGGGCACAGCCCAGTCCTGGCAGTTCTGCCCCTTCCGTGTCTCTGGGTGAGACAATGGGTCCACCCCTCGGCCACAGGGCAGAGCCCCACCCCGTCCTCAGACCTGCCCAGCAGCAGGTCCTCAGGCCAGATCCGGCCAGCAGGAAGTGGCCAGGCTTCCTGGCGCTGCCCCAGCACCCACTGGGGAGGGCCCAAGCCAAAGCGTCCTTCCCACTGCTGGGCACCTTCCCGGCCCATGGAGAAACCTCCCAGGTCTGAGGTAACCCTGAGAGGAAGTGGAGGGGCAGGGAGGGCAGAGGGCAGGACCATGGGGGCGGGAGGAGAGAGGGTTTCTCCCAGGGACCGGCCAGGGCCACCCATTTCTGCCTCCTGCTGGGCTGTCACGCCCAGGGGCCTTTGGTGCCACAACAGGGTGGACCAGAAAAACCAACAGGGCCCGGGGCCATCATTCATTGTCATAGCTCAAGGTGGCCCAAGCACCCCCTCCCCAAACACTGCCCACAGAGGGCCTGGGGGAGGGAGCGGCCTGTCCTTCGGGGAATCCTGGGCAGAGTCCTGAAGGGTGAGTGGGGCAGGATGCAGGGCCTTCCAGGGAGAGGGCGCCCAGGGGGCCCGGCATGGGGAGGGGTGCAGGGACCCACCTCTCGGGGGCCTAAGGGTCTTTGTCGTTTCCAATGCTTTATTTTCCGAGTGTTTCACGCCTGCAGAAAGTAGAGGGTCCCCAGACACCCATTCCACCCCCCCTTTGTGTGGCACACGTGTGCAGTGGGTGACCTAACACTGCGAGGTTGGTGCTAACTCAAGTCCTCGGGTCACTTGAGGGTCACCGTGGTGCCGCATGGCCCTGCAGATATGAATAAAATGCAGATTCGCTCGGCCACCCTGACGGCATCCCACAGCAGCTTCACTGCCCTAAAAATGCTCAGCCTGAGCCTCAGTTTATCTCAACAGGAAGCCCACCTGGCTCACGCTGGACATTTCTGACACAGGGAGTGGCGCTGAAACCAGCCTGCAAGTTCCCCAACATGAGTCACAGGGCTTGGGTCAAGGCCAAGACATTCGGAGAGACTCCAAACCTGCTGAATCAGATCCCTGGGATGGGCCGAGGCCGGGGAATCAGCATTTCAACAAGGTTTCCAGGTACACAGCAGGCTCCGTGCCAGTGGGCATTTGCTGAACGAAAGATCCTGGCCACTCCCAGGTTAAACTCTGGAGAGTCAGGCCGTCTCCCAAGGGGAAAGGGACAACGGTGCTGTGCCACAAAGACAAGAAAAAGTCCACTTCTGCCTTCTGGAGCTCCCAGCCCACAAGCCTGCTGCATCTTCCTGGTTTTTTTGTTCTTGGTACTGGGGATCGAACTCAGGACCTTGCTCTTTCGAGGCAGGAGGCGGGACCACTGAGCTAAATTCCCGGCCCTCCTGTTTTTTTACTTGATTAGGTTTACTGGTACATTTTAGGCACACATAATGAGCACATTCACCCTAGGAAGCTGTAGCTGCACATGATGCATCTTGATTCTTTTTCCCATTCCCCTCCAACTCCTCTTCCCCTCCATATTTACAAAAGCTTGGTTTCCATTTTGTTTCCTCTCTGCACCTAAATTGTCTCAGCAGCTGCAGCTCTCTCTGTACCTCGCTCGGGTAGCAGCTGGGTACTTCAGGGTCCACCACAGCACGAGGGCACCTCCCTCACGGCCATCCGTAGTGAGCTGAATAGTCTTCCCCTGAAATTCATGTCCCCTTGAACCTCAGAATGTGACTTTATTTGGAAATAGTCTTTGCAGATGTGAGTAGTAGGGACCAAGACGAGATCATACTGGATTCAGGTGGGCCCTAAATCCAATGACCGCTATTCTTGCAAGAAGATAGAAGGATGGCTGGGCAGGGTGGCCCACCTGTAATCCCAACACTTGGGAGGCTGAGGCAGGAGGATCACCCAGAGTTTGAGGCCAGCCTGGGCTACACAGTGAGTTCATGGCCAGCCTGAACTACAAAGGGAGACCCTGCCTCAAAAAAAACAAAAAATGGCCAGGGATTTAGCTCAGGGAACCACACCTGCCTTGCAAGCGCAAGGTCCTCAGTTCAATCCCTGATACCAAAAAAAGAAGAAGCCAGAAAGATGGAGATGGGAAGAGGGTGAACACACACGCAGAGGCCAGAGTGGCAGCAGCTACAGCCAAGCAATGCCAAGGGCTGTCCAGAGCACCAGGAGCTAAAGGAAGAGGAGAAGCACTCTGTTCTAGGCCCTTCTGAGGAAGCAGAGCCTGACCAGCACCTTCACCTTGGGCTTCAGAACTGTGAGCCACAGGTTTCTGTTGTAAGGCACCAGCAGGACACAGAGGGTCACAGCAGCCCAGGGAAATGGATCCACCGCCGCCGTCAGGGAAGAAAGGCCCTGCGCTCCAGACAGACGGACCGATGGCCTACTAATGCAGTCCAGTGTGCTCGGACCTCTTCCTTCCTGAATTCTGCAGCAGCCAGGCCCAGGGCAGGCCCTCTGTCCTGGGCTTTGGGGTGCTCTTTAGTGGTGACAAATAAATATTGGCCCCAGGGCAGCATCTAGGGGTGGCAGTCACTGCAGCTTCAGGCCACTCGGGCGCCTCGAGTCCTTGCGGGCGACGGGGCTGAAGCTCATGATCTCCTTGTAGATGTGCTCTGCGGAAGGCGGCAGCTTCAAGGAGAGGAAGGGGCGCTGGGCGCAGGAGGCAGCCACCCCCCCCCCACTAGCGGGCAGCAGGAGAGCAGTCCAAGGAGAGAGACACCCAGCAGATAGGACCAGCTCAGAGAGGGGCAGGGGTCTCCCGGCGACAGACAGGCAAGGCTGGCAGCCACAGAGGAGGAAGGAAGCAAAGGAGGCTGCGGGCTGCTCCCGACCCTTACGCTTCCACTCGTCCACTGTGAGCCTCTCATGCTCCAGGGGGTCGCTGAAGGGCTGCTGCGCCTCTGTCTCCTCCTCAGGGTCCCGGAAGGGCTCGAAGAAGGGGTGGGCGAGGGCCTGGGCGGCGGTCAGGCGCTTGTCCGCGTCCAGCTCCAGGATCTTCTCCAGCAGGTCTGTGGCTGCGGTGACACAGCCATGAGCCCCCCAGCTGGCCCGGGGTGCCGGGGCCCCGGAAGCAGCATGGACTCACCCTGGGGGCTGGCGCGAGGGAAGAGCTGAGTGAAGTCCTTCCTGGGGCTCTGTGGCAGGGACTGGATGTAGGCTTTGGCCTGGAAGAGGGAAGAGCACCAGGCCCCTCAGGGCTCAGGGTACAGGGCAGGCAGAGGCCAGCAGGATGAAGGCCGTGGGGGTGCAGTGAACCCCAACACCCCCCCCCCCGGTTGGCCAGCTGGGGCCCATAGCCACCCACCGCTTTGTCGTTCAGCTTCTGCACGAACTCGGCACCTGGGACCCCAGTCACTTTGAGGATCTGGGTCAGCTGGTCCAGGTCTGGGCAGCGGGTTAAGGCACAGCCTCGCTGTTCCCTTCCTGCAGCCCAACACCATTCCCCGGGCACCACGGCCCGGCCCAGGCCCCAGACAGCTTCCCACCTCCACAGCCCAGGAGAGAAGGCTCAGCCTGCAGAGCCAGAGCTCCAGGGCAGCAGGCCAGGCCGGGAAGGAAGGGCGACCTCCTGACACCCATCCCGGGCGTGGGGACTCCCTGCCCTCCCACGAGGCTGCCTGCCTGCTTCCCATCTCTCCTGACCCCTGAACCTCGCAGAGCCCGGCAGAGCCGAGTGTCCTCACCAAAAGCCTGCCAGCGCACACACCTCCCTCCTCTGTGTGCCAGGGCCAAAGTGGGAGGAATTATAAGGGGCTCATTTTCTGTTTTTTCTTTTTTTCCTGGTACTGGGGATCAAACCCAGGGCCTCAGGGACACACAGCAAGTCCTCTGCGACTGAGCTACATCCCTAGACCTGGGGGCTCATTTCATCATTTTGTTCACCTACAGTTTAAAATTCCTTTACAAGGAGCATGTATCACTGAGCAGGGTATGGTGGCGCACGCCTGTAATCCCAGCACTGGGGAGGCTGAGGCAGGAGGATAGGATCACAATGAGTTCGAAAACAGCCTGACCTACGTAGCAAGGTCCTGTCTCAAAAGAAAAAGAGCATCTGTCCCTGTTGCACAAAGGAAAAGTATTTTCTGTGCAAGCGCAAGGACCCAAGTTCGATCCCCAGTACCAAAAAAAAAAAGGAAAAGTATTTAAATAGAGAGTGCATTGAAGGAATGGTCCCCAGATGGAGCCTGTGTTTCTGGCAAAGGATACAGTCCTTCCCCTTGAACAGGGTTTTCCCAGTCAGCATCTCCGCCATGATGCAGCCGACGGACCAGACATCCACTGAGGGGAGGCGGGCGCGTCACTGCCATCTGCCTGCTCCGCCACCCCTGCCTGTGGGCTCTGCCCTCACTCACCCGTCTGGTTGTAGCGCATCCAGCTGAGGATGACCTCGGGAGCCCGATACCAGCGTGTCACCACGTAGCCGGTCATCTCGGGATCCGCGTGCCGCGCCAGCCCGAAGTCCAGGATCTACGGCTCGAGGGACATGGGAGACGGTGCTTGTGGAGGCCAGGAGGGTCTGGAGCAGCTCCGAGGGGCTCCCACTAGACCCCCATTCCTACCCCCGCTCCACCCTGCCTGGTGGTCGCCTGCCGTGCAGCCACTCACCTTCAGCTCACAGTCCTCGTTCACTGCCAGGTTGCCCGGCTTCAGGTCCTGGGAGGGAGGACAGAGAGGACAGGGAGGAGCACCAGGCTGAGGGGTGGAGATGGGAGATGTCCTGGACCCCAGGCCCCCTCCCCTCTCCAGGCCCCAGTGTCCTCTTGTATAAAATAAGGATTGAAGCAGTGTGGTGGTGCATGCCTGTAATCCCAGTTACTCAGGAGGCTGAGGCAGGAGGATCACAGGTTAGGGGCCAACTGCTTGGGCAATTTAGCAAGACCCTATCTCAAGTAAAATTTTATGAGGACTGAGGGTGTGACTCAGTGATACAGTGCTCCTCTACTACGACAAGGCCCTGGGTTCCACCCCCAGGAAAGGCTGGGCTAGGTATCACCTGCGGCCCATGCAGCTCTACAGGGACCCGATTCTTGCTGCCGAGCCCCGAACTCAGGGCTCACTTGTCTAAAGCAACTCCCCACCCAGCTTCCCAGGACACAATGATTCTCCCATGTTACACAGGCCTTCCTGGGCCAAGGCTGGGTCTGAAAAATCCTCATTCCCTGTTCCCAAGAACTGTCCCTTCCCACCACCTTTTCCAATTCCCTAACCCCCAGAGAACCCCAGTTTCCCCGGAGGTCAGGGGCCCGAGGACCGGAGTAAGAAAGGACTCACCCTGTGGATGACGCCAGCGGAGTGGATGTACTGGGGGGAGAAGGAGAGGGGGTGAATCCAGTGCCCCGGTTCCCTTGCCTGGCACCACAGGTGAAGCCCTGCTGGCTCCCCCAGATCTCTGGGGGCCCTTCCAAGCCCCGTGCACCTTGAGACCCTTGAACATCTGGTACACCAGGTACTGGATCTTGTCCTCGCTGAACTCCATGCCCATGATCTTCTGCAGGTCCGTCTGCATGAAGGGCATCACCAAGTAGCTGGAAGGCATGGGGGCTTCTAGGTGCGGGCCCCAGCCTCAACCAGGCCAGGTCTGAGCTCTGATGCCTTGGAAATGACTCAGACAAGAAGGGGTAGGAAAAACCAGCCCCTCGTGGATCTCAGGGCTCAGGGCTCCCTGTGTGTAAGGCTGCTCAGCTGGCACAGCTAGGGACAAGTACTGGCACTGAAGCAAGGGAACCAAACGGGAGCTCCCGCTCTTCAGAGGGGCCTGCTCCTCACCCGCTCCACTGCCCACAGCCAGCCCAGCTGTGAGCCCGAGCACCTGCCCACACTTCCTTCCCTGCTTCCCTGTGCTGTTCCCAAGGGTCATGGCCGGCTAAGCTGGCTCCTCTAACAAGCTGAGTGTCTCCCCTTCCGAGAAGGAAACAATAAAACCGCTCTCAGGAAGGGGAGGAGGCTGGTGGCTGGGCCACTGCATCTCTTTATGGGATTGCAAAACAGGTCGAGGGCAGCAGAATGGAACTGTTATTCAAGGTGGGAGCAGCAAAGTCCAAAAGCAAAAGGTAACAGATTATAAAAGGAATATTTTTGAGAAAAGGATTCGTGGAGGGCAGCTCCCTGAGCCTTCTCCCTCCTCCCCCAGACCTCCAGCATCTTCCACCTCTTTGAGGACCCTCTCACCCCTGCTCCCCCGTCCTTTTTTGTTGGTACCGGGGATCGAACTCGGGACCTTGCACTTGTGAGGCAGGCAGCAGCGGAACCACTGAGCTAAACCCCGCCCCCTTCTTTATCCTGGCTCACAAACTTGCCGAAGTCTCACTGTACGAGTCACCTTCCCTTTGTTTCAGTTTTTAAAATTTTATTTTAAAACGGGGTCTTGCTAAGTTGCCTGGGGTGGCCTCGAACTCAGGTTCCTCCTCCCTCGGCCTCCCGAGTGCTGGGATTACAGGTGTGCGCCACCGCACCTGGCTATGGTAACCTGGTTTCTGCTTCCTCCCTTCTACCACACTGCTTGGCTCAAGGTCCCCAGGGACCTCCCCACACTGACCACAGCTCCTCTCCTGCCTGACTGTCCCCCAGGTCCAAGGCTCCCTCAAAACCCTCGGGTGGCTCCCACTGACCAGGCTTACAGTGACCCACCCTCAGGCCATCGCTCGGCCCTAACCCACATTGCTAGCCCAGCCTTCCTCTGGAGACCCGTAACTGTGCTATTCCTAACTGCTGTTGCACAGATTCCACAAAAGCCAGGGGCTGCGTGGAGCTCATTATCTTTCCCCAGGCTGGTTCTTCCTCCACCCTGAGTCCCGAGCAGGAGCCCAGGCATCACCTCCTGGCCTCCCCAAAGATACGGCTGTCTGGCCTGCCTCCCAACAGTCTCCCGTCTGCCCTCGGCATCCCATCCATCCCTGGTTGCAGCCCAAGGCTGGGTCCTGAACCCTGACCTCGGCACTGTCCCTCCTCCCAGGGGCGCTCCCCGCCCCTCTCCCTGCCACCTGCCCACCGGAGTGCAGAGCTGGACAGAGCCCCTCCACGCTGAGGACCTGTGTGACTCTGCCGGGGCAGCCAAGCTGCGATCCTTGCTTTGTGCAGAAAGAACCCCACGCTCCAGAGCCATGTCTGGGCCACAGAGGGGCTGGGGGGCTGCGGCAAGCCCTGAGGACTGGCAGGTACCCAACTTGGCCATGGTGAAGCCGGTAAAGGTCCCTGCCACCTCTTCCCGCCTGCCTTTCTCTCCGGCACCTCCATGGCCCAAGGCACAGGGGCTGCAGGGCGGGAGGCCAAACCCACAAGCGAGAATCTGACCCTGTCTCCTGCCCAAGCCCCAAGTGAGAGCTGCAAACACTCCGAAGCCAGGGCGGCCGACTCACAAGTCCTGGAAGTGGCGCAGGGAGGAAGCTGGGGTGAAGACATCCAGGAGCCCAATGACCTGTGGAGGAAGCCAGGTGAGGGCTGGACAGCCGCCGCCCTCTCCCCCCAGCTCCCTGCCACCCACCTGGGACCACCCACCCTCTGCCAGTCAACCTCTTCCAGCAGGAAGCAGCCCTGGGCTGCTTGGGGCAGTAAAGGGGGCAAAACGGAAGCAGAGGGGCCCCTGTGGGAAGGATGATGTGCTGCAGTCCGGCTGGTGGGGGTTGCCCAAGGCTTGTGTCCAGGGCAAGCGGCACAAACTCCTTTCTCAACTCACAAGCCACCAGGACAAAAGGAGTCAGGCGCAGTGGTGCACACTGGCAATCCCAGCTACGTGGGAGGCTGAGACAGGAGAAGCTCAAGTGCTAGGCCAGTCCAGGGCAAGTTAAAGAGATTGTGTCTTAGAATAAAAAGTACTAGGGGCCGGGGATTTAGCTCAGTGGTTTCGCCGCCTGCTGCGCAAGCGCAAGGGCCCGAGTTCGATCCCCAGTACCAAAAAAAAAAAAATGTACTGGGGCGTAGCTCAACGGTAGAGCTCTTGCCTAACATGTGTGAGCCCTGGGTTTAACTCCCAGTACCACAGAAAGGGAGAGGGGGTGGAGAGGAGAAGGGCCCTCTCTGCTGGCCACATCTGTCCTTGCCTGACGCAGGACTGGCTCAGAGCCCCAAGATCACCGCTGCTTGGAAGTCACGTGGAGGGCTTTGCTGAAAAGGGATGGGGCTCAAAGTACACACAGCACTTTGAAATCACTCTCTGAAATGCTCGAGCTCCAACCCCGGTCCTGGGATCTTGGTTGCCAGGCCCGAGCTGGGTCACTGGATTGTCCACCCTGTCCCAGCAGGCAGGAGGTCTCATGGAAATCCCAGCTCTGCCACTGACTGACTACATAATCCAAAAGCCATTCTGTGCCTCCGTTTCTCCAGCTGTGATGGGGGCAGTGGTATTTATCTAGGCGACGCTGGGAGGACTCCACAAGTCAGCGGGCACAGAGCCCCTACGTCTGGCACACAGTGACTGTCTCAGCCCCACCCAGGAGCTCTGAGATGCAGAACAAATCGCAAACTTCTCCATGCCCGTTTCTTCAAAACAGCCAGGCAGCTGTACCTCCCGAAACTCCTCTACCGGAAATGCCCTCATACCCCGCACCCCTCATCTTACTAATGAAGAAAGAAGCCAGGACCGGGGAGCAAGAAGTTCTCCCTTTTCCCGCCGGCCAAGAGCTCCTGGCACGGGCCGGCCAAGCCCAGCCTGGGCCTCCCTTCCCCCACCCAGAGCTCGGGCAGCTGAGAGCCCCGCCTACGTTCTCGTGCTGCATGTGCTTCAGCAGGCACAGCTCGCGGTAGGCCCGCCTGGCGAAGATCTCGGACTGGAAGGGTCGGCTCAGCTTCTTGATGGCCACCTTCTCCCCTGACCGCTTGTCGACGGCGGAGCTGCAGGGGACAGGCAGGAACCTCTCAGGTCGCCTGGACCCTGTGCCCTGCCTTGGCCCGCAGGCCGGGCTGGCGGGAGCGATGCCCACCACGGCGTGGGACGTGGAGTGCGGGACCCAGGCAGGAGGCAGAGGGGCGGGGTGGCACTCCCCGGGGGTTCGGCACGCTGATGCCAGGGCTTCCGGAGCAGGCAGGGCCTCGGTGCCCTCCTCTGCACCAGGGGTCCCCCCAGGTGACAGCCTGGAGAGCCCGTCGGAATCCGACCTCGGGCTCTGAGGTGGGGAGACAGGAGCGCCCTGGCCCCCCCCCCGCGCCGCGCTGCTCCGCCCCACTTCCCGGTGAGAGCTGGGGGCGCCGGCGTGGGGTCCTCGGGCGGGGCGGCCGCGAAGAGGCGCCCGGGTCTCACCACACGGCGCCGTAGGCCCCGCTACCGACGTGCGTCGGGGCCGCGTAGGTCTTGGGCAGCTCCCAGGCCGTCTTGTTGACATCCTGCTTGTAGAAGCCCTTTTTCCGGACGAGGCTCATCCCGCGCACCCGAGCTCGGCGGCCCAGCGCGGCGGCTGCGTCCCGGCCCGCCAGGTTCCGCGCCCCGCGCCACCCGCTCCGCCCCGGCCGGGGCGGGGACACTGCGTGTCCCACCTGCCCCGCGGCCGCCAGGTGCTCGGAGCGCCGCCCGCCCCGCCCCGCCCCACTTCCGCCGGCGGCAGGTGCGGGCCTGGTGGGAAAAGCTCAGTCCTCGGCTTCCGCATCTCCGGCAACTCAGAGCCAACTTCATGTTACCCACATTTCTCTTCCCCCGTTATTGTGAAGCCAAACTCGGGAACAAAATTGTTTCATCTTTTTTTTTTTTTTTTTGCCTCTACTTGATACGGATTTTTGCCTGGCGTGGTGGCACACACCTGTAATCTCAACACTAGGGAGGCTGAGGCAGGAGGATCGCCATGAGTTTGAGGCCAGCCTGGGCTACATAGTGAGTTCAAGGCCAGCCTGAGCTACATAGTGAGACCCTGTCACAAACCATCCCCCCCCCAAAAAAAACCCATTTAAAAAAAAATCATTCTTACACCTAAAATTGATAGCACTGATTTTCTTTCTTTCTTTTTTTTTTTTTTTTTGATACTTGGGATGGAACTCGGGACCTTGCACTTGTGAAGCAGGCGGCGGCACCACTGAGCTTTAGCTCTGATTTGATAGCACTGATTTTCTAAAACCAATGTCCACACAGGTACAAATTTCCGGTTTTCAACAGTTTTTGCTGGCTTCCTAATGCCCTGTGAGGAAATGACACGGGTCATTTGCCACCTGTGCCTAGTGGCTTGTGAAACCCAAAGGAGATTCTGTTTTTAAATTAAATTGCAAAGGCTCTCGGGACAGGGGGAGAGGCTGGGAATGGACGCAGTGCCCTGGATGCCCTGACCCAGAATAGGATGAGGCGGGGCGCATAGCTTCATTTGTCAGAGGCAGACAAACGGTACTGGGTTCTTCTGTGGTACTGGGGATTCGACCCAGGGCCTGACATGTGCTGGGCAAGCACTGCCACTGCTATCACTCCTGCCTAACATTTTATTTTATTTATTTATTTTTGGTACCAGGGATCAAACTCAGGACCCTGTGCTTGCCAGGCAGGCGCTGTGCCCCTGAGCTAAATCCCTGGCTCCTACTTTTATTTATTTATTTATTTATTTATTTATTATTTATTTTAAAGCTCTGCCTGATCATTTTTAATTTTATTTCTTTTTTTTCGGTACCGGGGATTGAACTTGGGTCCTTGCACTTGCGAGGCAGGCGGCGGCACCACTGAGCTAAATCCCCAGCCTGCAACCGTAGCTATGTCTTTTTTTGTGTGTGGTACCAGGGATTGAACTCAGGTCCTTGCGCTTGCGCAGCAGGCGGTGAAACCACTGAGCTAAATCCCCAGCCCCCTTTTATTTTTTAACTGGCTCAAAACACCTTAAAAATTGTGTTCATTATTTATTTTGCTATTCTGGGGATTGAATTGAAGGTCTTCACACAGAGCTACGTTCCCAGTTCTTTTCTGGGTTGTTGTTGTTTTGGTTTTAGACACAATCTAAGTTGCCCAGATGCCCAAGCTGGGCTTGAACTTGTGGTCCTCCTGCCTCAGGCTCCAAAAGAGCTGGGACTGTGGACATGCACCACCATGTCCGGCTGAGAGGGCGTCTTAGCAAGGAAAGGAACTTGCAGGTGGCCGGCAGCAAGCTAGGGGGTGCACTAGGGCCCTGGAGCCCTGGGGCTGTAGCCTGCCACACGGTGCTGCCTTGCCAGGCCAGGCGTAACCAGAAACACCATTCAGGGCCGGATCACCAAGGGAGGCCTGTGAGTCAGTGCCCCATGCCCTCACCTGAGAGCCTGGGAGCCGAGGTCCGGAGGGGTGCAGTCATTGCCCGAGGCCCCAGAGGAGAAACTGCTCCTGGAAGAACATGGTCTCGCTGCTGACCCCCCGGGTGTCCCCAGCAGAGGACAAGCCTCCTGGCCAGACTGGGGCAGCCGGCTGGTCCCCTCTTCCCTGCCCAGTCCTCCACCCCAGCCCAGAGACCCTGAGGAAGAGGAGGGAGGAGGTGCCAGGCCTCCTAGTGATCCTGAAGCTGGTCTGGGGTCCCCAAGGTCAGATGCCAGGGCTGGACACAGGTGAGGAGACGTCTGGCGACCCCAGGTCCTTTCCGGTAGGGAGAAGCTGGGATTTACGCCTGACACAGGCCAGGGCTAGAGCCTCTCTGTGGGTGACAGGGATGAGCCCAGGAGGGTGACAAATAGGAGGTCCCTCTGCCCACGCAGTGTCATCCTTGCAGGCCAGCTGGACACCGCAGCTGTGACGGGACATCTCTTGGGCAAGGGTCAGGAAGTGACTCAGGCCTCAGGCTCGGCTGACAATGACCCCCCTCTCAGGCCCTGCTGGGCCTGTGTTTGCTCAGCAGCCTGGCAGCTGGGAGGGAAGCACCTCGGGGTCCAGTCAGGGCTCCCATGGCTGTGGGAGAGGAGGAGGAGTGGGAGGAGGTCAGCAGGCCAACCTGGAGCCCCGCCCCGGCCCTGGGCTCCTCTCCTCCCTGCGGACTCCATGCCTCTCTGTCCTGTCTGCCCCATTAAAGCGGAGGCGGGCTGAGGAAAGCAACCTGAATTTCCAAGCTGGCTCTGTCTCCTGGAGTTTCCCTGTCCATAAAAAATGGTGACATTAAAGTATGACAAGTAGGCCTGTGGCTCAGCCTAGGCTGGGTTCTGTCAGATAAGCCAGGCACCTTGAACACACCTACCCCGCCTGGAGGACTCGCCGCCCGAGGCTCACGACCGTGTGACCAAGTGGGAGCTGGGGCTGACAAGAGAGGATCAGAGCACACCCCACCAGCCTGGGCAAAGAGCAAAATCTGAAGCGTGGCGGCTCCTGAGAGCACGTCAGCTGTGCTACGCTGTAAGGGAGGAAAACCCTAAGCAGAGCCAGTGCAAGGTGGGGACTGTGTGTACATTAAAGAGGCTGAGAATGGTTCCAGGCCAAGCCCGGCTCAGTGTCTTCCCCACAGCGCCCGGCCAGTGAGGGAGGGACAGAGCTGGGGAGCCAGTGCCCGGGGAGCTCAGGAAGAGGCATCCAGAAGGACTTTCAAGGTTGTGGCTGTGTTAGGTCTTGTGGGGCAGGAGTCAGGAGATGGAGGTCATTCTGGAACCCGGTACCTTAAAAAATCTTGCCCTGAAGGAGCCCAAAACCAGCTGTTAGATTAGCCATCTCAGAGAGGGACTTTTGGTCCTTTCTGCCATGGGGACACATTCATGTCTCGTGTGTGTTCAGAATGACTGTGTTCAGAGGGAATGGCCTGGTTTTTGTCTCGACCTCTCCTGGTGACAAGTGGCCCTGTGTGATGTTGATGTGTGTGACATGCTCCGTGTCCACAGAGCACACAGGGACTGTGCTGTGCGGGCTGAGAGGACCCAGCAGCTCGTGTCTGTCCCCAAGCACACACGGAGTGACCGAGGGCCAGAGAGGTTAAGGAAGTGGCCTAAGGTCGCACATGACCGCACAACCTGGCATCTGGCTCCGAGGTCTGTCCTAGGTTTCCGGGTGCCCGGCAGGTGTCAGGAAGTGACTGTCACCTTCCTGTCTGGCTGGGGGCTGTGGCAGGGTGGGGGCGTGCTCGGGAGAAGAGGCCCCACGTGATTCTGAGGCCATAGGCAGACTCCACTGTCTCGGGGATACAACGCAGCACCCCCCAAGTGCCACCTCTGTCCCAAATGACAGGGCCCGCACACACCCTGGCCACCACTAGCCCTGAGAAGAGAAATCCTGATACACCCGGCTTCCACAGCATAGGACAGGCAAGCAGCCAGGAGTGGGACCCAGAGATGCCAGCAAACCCCGAGTTGCAAGAAGGCGGGAGAAGCAGAGGGAATTCTGCCTGTGCTGGCTGCTCTGTGACTGGCAATGCTGTATGAGTCTACATAAGGGCCTGGCTCAGTTCTGGGGACACAGGAGGTGCTTGATAGATGCTGGAACTCACAGGGAGCAGGCTCTGCCCTGCCCAGCAGCCTGCCCTGTGTCTGCCCCGGGGGTTGGCCCTCCATTCCACTCCAACTCACATCCAACTCCTTTGTTTTGTTTTGTTTTGTTGGTACCAGGGATCGAACTCAGGACCTTGCTCTTAGGAAGCAGATGCAGTGCCATTGAGCTAAATCCCTGGCCCTTGAGTTTTTTTTGCCATGAACCCACCCAATCCACCCATTCATTCAACATTTGCCTACTGAAGGTGTTCCAGGGACTGATCCAGGCCAGGGGATGTCACAGAAAAGGAACAGATAAAGATGTCTGCCCTCGCCGGGCCTGATGGCACACACCTGTAATCCCAGCCCTCAGGAGGCTGAGGCAGGAGGATCGGTGAGAGTTTGAGGCCAGCCTGGGCTACATAGTGTGACCCTGTCTCAAAACAAAACATTTTGTTTTTCGATACCAGAGATCGAACTCAGGACTTTGCACTTGCCAGGCAGGTGCAGAGCCACTGAGCTACACCCCTGCCCCCCCCCCCGCGGTACCAGGGATTGAACTCAGGACCTTCCACTTTCAAGGCAGAACTGGGACCTACAGGAGTGGAGAAAGCCACCAGCCCAGTTGGAGTCCCCACTCTTGTGATCCTGCACCACGTGTCCCTCATCTGTTAGGAGACTGGAGCACCCGGGGACAAATGTGTGGCCCCTGGAAACTCGAGGGGGCGCCACCCCGTCTCCCCACTACTTCTTCCTCATCTGGGGGGCTCGGGCTGGTCAGCAGGATTGGGGTCGCAGCAGCGCACCCCTCGCAGGTCGTGGGCCTCAGCCCAAAGCATCTCCAACAGTGCGGACGCCTCGCCCTGCGCCCTGCGCCCTTCTCCATCCGCCCTCCGCGTGGGCGCCCCCTAGCGGAGAACGCGGGCGGGGACAGCTCCGCAAAGGAGGCGCCGCTCAGCCGGCTCGGGGCTGGCACCTGGGCGGGGCAGGTGGGAACCTTGGCCATGGCCAGCCTGGACCTTGGCCTTGGGCTTGGTAACCTTCATCATAATCTTTTTCTTTTTTTTAGTACTGAGGATTGAATCCAGGGACTTCACCCTGAGCTACATCC